GTTTCAAAACAAAAACAACACAAATTGAATCTCATAACAATAGTGCATTGTCCAAGTTTTGTACCAATATAAAAACCTCAAACATCAAATGTCAATTCGCAATGAAAGGCATTATTTATCAACCAAAAAAAAAAATCACACAAAGGCATTATTGTTGTTTCTGATGCATTCTAATTCTAAACACTTATGAGTTTGCTAAATACTTTTGAAATACTGATATGAAGTTTTTCTATATTTATTGGGTTTTTTTTGTGTTTTTCTATTGTTTTTTTCTTTCTTTCTTTGGGAGTGAGGATTGGTAAGCTGTGATAAATTTTGTTTTTGTTGTGGCAAGGGGTTGGTTGGATATTTTGCTTATAGTCATGTATTGCTTAACAAATATTCCAATTTATTTAGAATTTTCAGAAGTATTCATAATTTTTAGTTCAAGCTTGGAAGCAAAATGAATCTGAATGGGTGATTTGGGTTTTTGGACAAAGTAAATGGGGGTTTTGGGGCTATATTGATTTGTAAATCATGGGGGAATTAAGTTAGTTAGAGTTTGTTATTGAATTGCCAAACAAAAAGTTTGCTTTTTGAATTTAATCACATAATGTAATGAAATCTCTTCTTTGTATACCAAAGACCTTAGGAACACTTATTTCTTAAATTTTTCCTCTAACATTATGTGATCAATTAAGGGAAGTTACAAAAGTAAGAGTTGAAAAAAATAAAACGCAAAGAAAATATTGATTAATTTTTATACCTTAATGTTTTTATCAGCCATTAATTTGTATATGTGTTGTGTTTTTTGGTAGTGTTTGCATTGGGTAATCCATTATTATTGTGCAACATTGTTTGTGTTTAGTTTGAATTGGGTAGTCTATGAAAAACCTTTTAATAGTGTGACAATGCGTGTGTTTGTTTTGAATTGGATAGTCTCTTTTAATTATCATATTGGTTCTTTTCTGTATTTTACAGGTGAATGAAGACTATAAATGAATGGTAATATCGGCTCCCTTTTATAGGTCTACATTTTTTTAAGGTTAAGTTTTTCTTATCTCTCTAATGATTTTGTATTTATTGTTCTGGGAGTTACAATATTAAACTAAACGCGCACTTCTTTGATTGATGAGTGTTGAAAGAGTGGCAATCTCGAGTGTGCAACAATTTGTGCATACTTCGTTCAATTTGTTTGAAAAGATATGACAATCTCTTTCATCTTTATCCTAAATGGCATCCAAAGTGGTAAACTCACATGAATTTTATAAAGTTTTATGTTCCACAGTTATCTTAGTAGTGAAAATGGATTTTTTTTAAATATATATTTTTGGAAGGGTGACACTTTTGCGAAGTAAATTTTAAATTTTCTACTTTTTCCATGATATGTACTATGAAAATATGTCATATTCCTAAATACTCTCCTATTTAGACTTTATGTTCCTAAATAATTTTTTGAAATATGTCACGTTCCTAAGTACTTTTGCTTTTTTGATCTTTTTCCTTATTCATGCTAAATACTCTATCACTGTTGGTTGGATATGAATCTATAGGAATTGGATGAGATGAAGAAGCTTTTGAAAGAGTCAGGGGTTGTTCATTGATAGAAGGAAACAAACCAATGGCACCCTTGAACTCTCCAATTAAGGTAATTTCTTCAAACTTCTATGTTGTATGATTTATTTTTTATTTTTTAATTTTTAATTTTTATTTTTTATAGAGAAAAGATTCAACCATTTAAGTTGTTTATATGGGAGTGCCTTTAGGCACGAGTGATATGCTACCAATTCATATTTGACATTTTTTTTTCTCTGAATAACATTCCTTTAATTCGTTTGATTTGATTTGATTTTTTTATAATTTATTTCATATATAGTTACTAAAATGACTATTGGACCATTTTAAAGTCCTTTTATTATAGTTATTTTTCAATGCAACAATTTCAATTTTAAAACTGTCGTAGTTGATGTAATTAATGACTTCCAAATTAATCATCTGTGTAATTACTCTTATTTAAAGTACTTTTTCATTTACATGATTAGTTTAGTCACATTAAAACATAATGTGAATGCAATGATTTTGTAAATTCAACCAATGGACTCTTAACAGAATTATAGAATTAATGAGTTAATTTGTTTTAAAGCTATTAAGCTGAGTTCGAGTTTTTATTTACTAAGATTCAAATTTATGGTCAAATGCATGGCTTCTTTGTGTTAATGATTAGGATTTGAATTTTTCAATGAATTGATTTTGAAATTAATATCTTAAATCATACTTTTCAAACTTTCATTAGCAAAAGTCTTCTTATTTTTTTAGAATTTCTTATTGGTTGTTGAGAATTTCATCATGCTATTTGAGTCATTTAGAATGTTTCAAATTTTAAGCAATTTGTTAAGTTTTATATATTTCAAACCTTCTATCTTTAAAGCTTCGTCTCAAGTATTCCGATTTTCGTCTAGACACTTCTTATAAATGATTTAGTAATTGTTTTGAAATGTAAGAGAGCTTAGGTATCATTAGTTTTACAGTTACTTTTGTCACAACTGATTTCTGCCCTTTTGCTGATGAAGAAACTTATCTTGATTTGTCATTTTCAAGTGTATGTAATTATGCATTTCATTTTCAAGTGTAAATCTAAAACTTTGTCATGTGTATATGTGAAAGTAATTTGTGACTATACTAATACACTTTCTAAAAGATGATTCTTTACTTGTAAAGCGTCTTTTGACTATGTGTAGTAGTGTAAGCACATGCATTGCACGTTAATAAGTTTATATTGGTGCAAAGCTAGAGAGTTCGAGTGTAGAATTTACATTATTTTTGGTTTTATTGTTGACAAACTTTGAAAATGATTGACGTTATATAAAGTTAATAAGTTTATATTGGTGCAAAGCTAGAGAGTTCGAGTGTAGAATTTACACTATTTTTGGTTTTATTGTTGACAAACTTTGAAAATGATTGACGTTATATAAAGTTAAAGATTATTTAATGGCAGATTGATGTTGTGTAAACTTATATAGGTTTGGTTTGGTGTGGGTGTTTGCTATGTGGATTTGGATCAAAAACACCATTTTCATGTTGGCATGGGGTGCTCCAAAAAGAGAAGGCATACACTAGCGACAATTGTCCTACTAGGACATTTTAATGGTTATGATTCATTTGTCTATTTAGATAGATGGCTGAGATCGGTTAAATATATATCAATCCTAATTATATACATTTATTTCCCGTCCAAAGAGTAAGCTGCTTACCCACGTCTCCCCTCTATTCTACCTTTTATCTCTCTCCATTCTCTCTTCTCACCTTCCCACTTACCCACAATATACGCATTGCTGAATTCGATCTAGGGCTTTCGAAATAATGATCTTCAAGGCGCCATCCAGGTAATATCACTGGCACGGGCATACACTAGCGACAATTGTCCTACTAGGACATTTTAATGGTTATGATTCATTTATCTATTTAGATAGATGGCTGAGATCACTTAAATATATATCAATCCTAATTATATACATTTACTTCTCGCCCAAAGAGTAAGCTGCTTACCTACGTCTCCCCTCTATTCTACCTTTTATCTCTCTTCCTTCTCTCTTCTCACATTCCCACTTACCCACGATATATGCATTGCTGAATTCGGTCTAGGGCTTTCAAAACAATGATCTTCAAGGCGCCGTCCAGGTAATATCACTCTGTCATAAAAGAGACCTGTTGAGTTCCCTCTCTATCTCTCTCTCTCTCCATTGTGCTTCACAGACGATTTGATTGCATTGTTGAATTCAATCTAGGGCTTTTGAAACAATGATCTTCAAGATCACTCTTTTGAATTTGATCTAGGGCTTTCGAAACAATGATCTGAATGATCACTCTGTTGTTTGATTGCTATCACTTTACTTTCAATTGATCTGACAAACAGATCTAAAAGACTACTTTCTCGCGATTTCTTGCTATCACTCTGTTCTTGCTTTCAATTGACCTCACAAACGATTTATTTTCAAATTTTCTCTCTGTCAGGCTGTTTTGTGTCGCACCAGAATTCTCTCACTCTTCTCAAACTAAAGGTAAAGATCACTCTGTTTACTACAACAATTTTCATTTTGTTATGTTTGATTGGGTGTTTGTTCCATTGGGTTTTTTTTTTTTTTTGATTTCCTTACTCTTATTTTATTATTTTTTTTATTTTTTAATATTTTGTATTCAAAGTTTGATTTTTTAAAATGGAAAAGTATTTGATTGCTAATAAAACTTAGAATCTGTTGGGTTCAGATTGTAATAGAAACTTAGTATATGTATAGAAAAGTATTCAAACTTAGAATCTATTGGGTGTTTGTTCCATTGGGTTGATTTTTATTTTTTTTTTAAAGATTTCCCTGCTCTATTTTTTTTTATTTTTAATTTTGTATTCAAAGTTTGATTTTTTTAAATGGAAAAATATTTTTAATGGAAACTTAGTATATGCATATGTATTTTCATAGCAAATGGGTTTTATTCTGTAATGTGTCCGTTCATATTTTTTTTAGAATCTGTTGGGTTCAGATTGTAATTGAAACTTAGCATATGAATCAAATGGGTTTGGTTTCAGTCTTTTTCCCCTTTCAGTGTTGTTGCCTCTCCCCTTCTCTCCCTGTCGGGCTGTGACTACTATAAACAGACAGGTTTTTTTAGGGTTTTGTTTACGTGTCATTTAGGTTTTTTTAAAACCAATCTAATACATTTTAGTTCACTGGAAACTCCCACAGCTTTTGAGTTTGTGAATTTTTTTTCAAAAAAAAACAGGGTTTGGTCAAAACCTCCCATTTGAGGGCATTGTAAAAATTATATCTGATAACATTGTATTTTCCAGCGATGCAGTGTTGATGTGATAAAATTGTCATTTGGCTGGTTCTGTTTTTTATTAGATAGAATGACCATTGTATTTTTTTTTTTTTTGGGCATAGTAAAAATTAACTCAACTAACTGGTTGGGGGTTGAGGGAAGGTTTTTACTAATCCCATAAGCCTGAAATATTGAATTCTCTTGATCCCACAGATTTTAGAAGATAATAAGCCTGAAGATATACAGGTAATGATGTCTAAAACCTACCTTCTTTTCCTTTGTGTCTTTTCATTTTTGTGAGGTTCCCATTAAAGTGCTTACATTCTTTGCAACAGGGAAATCCCTCTAATTCTAACTAATTAAATTATTTATTCCCTCAAGTCTTTTTATTGGCTATTGTAAACTCCCACAGCTTCTGAGTTTGTGAAACTTCCACAATTGTTTGAGTTTGTGAATTTTTTTTCAGATAACATTGTATAAATCTAATTTTTTGACTTTCAGTGGAAACTCCCACAGCTTCTGAGTTTGTGAAATTTTTTAAGTTTGTGAAACTCCCACAATTTTTTTAGTTTGTTATTTTTTTTTCAGATAACATTGTATTTTCTAGTGATACAGGGTTTGGTCAAAACCTCTCTCTTGAGGGCATTGTCAAAATTATATCTGATAACATTTTATTTTCCAGTGATGCAGTGTTGATATGATAAAATTGTCACTTGACTGGTTCTATTTTTGATTAAATAGAATGATCATTGTAATTTTTTTCGCAGTAAATTTTTTTTCGATTAAAGGCATTGTAATTTCTTCCTTAACCTTTTATAATGTATGCCCTGGAATTTATATAGGTTTGGTTAAACATCAAACACATTCCCTTACAGTAGATGATCAGAAAAACTAGTAGTTGATTGTAATTTATCTATATAGATTTGGTTTAATGATTAGAAAACTGATAGTGTAGTATGTTTAATACATATATGGTTGAAGATGATCTAGCATGCTTAATACACCATTGAGGGTTATTCTTTGTTACTTTTTAATCTGAATGTTATTCTCTGTTTCTTTTTTCATTACCAAGGTGAGTTTAATTTTGTTGTTGATTTAGATTTTTTTTTCCCTATTTGTTGGTGTGCTTTTTTTTATTTTTATTTTTTTAAAGTACATTAGTTAATGACAAGGCTTTTTTTTTCCCTTTTATTTGATGTCCAAGTCTGAATTTAAGACTTATTTGTTCTATTTTTTTTTTATTTCATACTTTAATACTAATATAATTTGTTATTGACGTGATGAACATGAGCATGGAAAGAAGCCTACAAATCACCACTACAAGTGGTGATAGTGTAGTCGGTGGTGGTGGCGGTGGTTTGTCGGTGAAGAAGAAAGGGAGGCCACGAAAGTATGAATCAAATGGTAACTTAAGACTACCATTTATATCATCACCACCACCAGGTTTTTCTTTCTCACCTCCGTTTCCTTCTTCTTCTTCTTCTGAGTCCTTTTCTTCCAAAAGGGGTCGTGGCAGACCATTTGATTCTGGTAACTGCCAGCTGCTTGCTTCTTTAGGTGAGTTCAAATCAAGCCTTTAAATCAACATTTTCCCTTGAGATTGATAATTTAGTTGTGTACAACCTATTCCTTTGCTGCAATTCAAGACTTCCTCCATCAAACACATTGATTTTTAACTTGATTTTTATTTTTTTTGAAGTACATTAGTTAGTGTGATTTGTAGGTTGTGGATGAAGTCTTAACGAGGGCGAAAGAGACTGAATGGTGAGCTTTTTGATAAGTGTATAGATAGTGTTATTGCACATGGTTAAATTTGAATGCAAGTGTTTATTCATTCTCTTCATGGGTTTTAGGTTCATTGAAGGAGACTTTGATGCGTATGTGGAAAGAATTCGAAAACCTTATGTATGGGGTGGAGAGCTTGAGTTGCTGATGGCATCCCATCTTCTCAAGTGAGTTCTATTCACTGTTTCAGTAAAGCATTTATGTTGTCCGTATGAAGCAATTTATGTGTAAAAAACAATATCATAGTGTTCATCAAAGCGTTTTTGCATATTGGCTCATATACAATGGTATTTGTCTATTTATTAGTTTGACAGAAGGGTTTGTTTGCCTCATCAAAGTGTTTTTATATTAAATTTATAATCTATATAATAAGATTGAAGGGTTGGGATTACAATTATATTCTAATCTTAATATTAATCTTTCTACTCTGCCATCTGTATACTTGAACGAAGTTTGGAAATTCATAAACTACTTCTTCATCTTTGGTTGAAGACATGGTAAAGAAACATAGTAAGGAATGCAAAAAATAATCAATCTTTATGTATATTATTATGTATTTTATATATTCAATCTTTCTGTATTTTATATAATCAAATTGTGTTGATATATAATTATTTTTTTCAATAGGACTGCAAAAAATAATATGTGGAAGACAGAACCTGCAAAGGATTGAGTGGCCACTTCTTTCCACCGACAAATCGCTTGGGCTGCTAATGGTATTTTTTATTTATTTTTTAGTATCAAAATGCATCTCAAATTGTTTATTTTTAATTTTTTAATCTTTATATAAATTCTATAAATCTGCTTTTGACTGTAGCGTATTTTATGAGTGTTTTGTTTTCTTTTAACTATTCCAAATAGTATTTATTTATTTAGGAGCAAAGTTGTGTAGAGTTTCCTATTGTCCATAAAAAAGTTTGATAATCATTGTAGTTACTGAATCGAGCGATCAATAGGAAAAGATAGTGGCAAATTATGGGTTGTCATGAAATCATGCTATTTCCTTTTTTAAACCATCATTTGGTTGATAATTGTTTAATTAAAGAAATTGAAATCATGCCATTTTTTTTTAAACCATCATTTGGTTGATAATTGTTTAACTAAAGAAATTAGGGGTATCTTAACAAGTCTTTTGGAGTTGCAAATGTGATGGCTTTACATTTTCTCTCTTTACATATTTCTCTCTACATTGATGGATTGCAAATATGATGGGTTTATATATGTCTATGATGAAATCAAAATACTTATAATTATAATGGGTTTTGATTTTGGTTTCAATTTCATCTTTTATAAAATTGGAGTCAGTGGGGAAAGAGAAGGGTCCAAACCCACCAAAATAATTTTAACATATTAACTCATTTGTTTCAAATTGGGATAGGTACGAAAGTAGATGCATTCTTTATTTGTTTATTTATTTTCAAATAATTTTTAAATTAAATTGTTGATCTGAAAACACAGTGACAAGAGATTCAGGGAATTCTTTGGCATCACAGTAATTTATAATCTGCAAGATATCTGAGAAATTATTGATAGGAGTTAGAATTCCATAGAGAAACTGACGGATTCGCAAAAATTCTGATTTATATCACTTGGGAGAACATGAAAGTAGGTACTTGCAATTTGTGAAGCTTAGATGGAACACATACTTGACTTCTATGTTTTAGGAGAATCAAGGCAAGTGTGTAGTGGGGTTTTAATTGTTGTGTGACTTGCATCTATTTCAAACCATTTAATATTATTAGCCAAACTTGAATGGATTAATTATTTTTTTACTGCTCAATCACTCTCTAGCAGAGCACGTCCCAGACACGCTTACTTTATTATGTTTGATTGCTATTACTTTACTTTCAATTGATCTCACAAACACATTCTGTTTCGTCTTCGATCCTCAAACAGATCATTTTGCTCACTCTTCTCAAACTAAAGGTAAAGGTTCGCTCACTTTTCTACTATTTTCTGTCATGTGTTGTTTCAAATGTGGTGAATTCACTCCAATGTTTCGCTGAATGTTTATATAAATTTTTTGAATTTTCTATAAATTGGTGTATTCACTCCTTACTCTTTCAGAAAAAAAAAAATCTACGACCACCCACATTTTCTCAAACGTGTAGAAACCCACAAACCACATTCACCAGACTCTGTTGCCTAAGAAGGTGGATAAAGGGAAAGGGGATATTGGTTATGCTTCTCAGGAGTTTTAGGAGCTAACCAGACTTATGTGATGTACAATGATTTTTCTCTTTTTGGTTTTTCTTTTTAAAAATCTATTGTGGCTTTATGGGTATAGCTCCTTTTGGGGGCATATGAATCAAAGTTACTACAGTTTTGATGGGTGAAGTTTGATGTCAATTGTGATTTTTTTTTTTTTCTCTTCTGGGGAATTTTGTGGTTGATGGCTTTACGTCAATTGATTAATTTATCCAATATGTACCAAATCTTTTGATCAACAACACTTGGAAATCAAGTTTGTTTAGCTACTGTAAACAAACATGCAAGTTGGTTATAGATCCTCCAGTTCAAATGTGAAATTTGGACCACTAGCCCAGTTAACCTCTGCATGGAAAATGTGCAAGACCAAAATATAAGAGTGCCCAAGTTTTTGGACGACAAGACAAGTTGAAAAAATATTATTTTTTTAAATGAAATATTTAAAAATAGTTAACGTTTTTTATTAAAGGAAAAAAATAATGAACGTTTTAAAGTTTATTTTAACTTTTTAAATTTTAGAATTAAAAAAAAATTATCTTTTAAGAGGGACCGATAAAGTAAAATATTATGATATTTGTTAATCATTTTAATCGCACTTCAACATCAAAACGACTTGAGAGGAGTCTACAACTATTGATGAATATAAACAATAGTGTTATTAAGCTACCAACAATATCTTAAATTAAAATTAGATTTGAGCTCCATCTGTATTTGAAAAACTCACCAAGAAATGGGTGAGTAAGCATTTTCGACAATGCTAGCCCCAACATTCTAAACAATACCAAAGAGAGTAAACACATAAATGAATGTATGTAATTAATTTGAAGTCTTAAAATAGGTTTGAAGGAAATTGAATTGCATTAGTAATCTGTTAGGTTTCTTGACTTCTCAAAAAATTTGCACAATATGGAACAAGTTTTCAATTGTGACTAGAAGACTTTGAAAGATTTTTCTTTGATCTGTCTAACACACACATAGTTTTGGCAGAAACAAAAGGTAATAATATATCTATATTTCTTTGTCAATTAATGTGTTCTCTATTATATCAATGCAAGAGCCAACGGACTTTCCCAAAGCCATGGCTTCTACTACTTTGGATCGAGCTTCCTGATGACGAACTAATATTAAGAGAGTATTTACAGCAGCCCATTTTACTTGACAATCAGCTTCATTCTCTGTGAAACCCAACCATTTAAGTACTCTATTCAATTGTTTCATTTGATATTCAATTTTTTTTAAATTTGATTTGTTTGGAATTGTAAAGTATAGTCTGTTAAATATATTTTTATAACTATATTTTAATCTTAATATTATTTACACCGTGCCTTTAGGCACGGGTATACGCTAGTATATATATATATATTTGTACATGTAATCAAATTAAAAAAAAAAAAATACTCTACACTCAAGAAATCAGTTACTAGCTTTGGTTGGCTGGGTCTAAGGCCTCGTTTGGAACAGGTTTAGTAACTTTTTGATTTTTTACCTAAAATATGATGTAAAAAAAACTAATATGTTTATAATGAATTTTTAATTTTTTATGAAAAGATGTGCAAAAAATAGAGAGAAAATAGAATTTTGACTTTTTAATATAAGGTTGTTAGCTTTTTAATTTTTTTGATGACTTTTTGAATTTTAGACTAAAAGGATTACTTCCCAAACCAGGCTTAGGTCTAGCCAAGGCCCAACCATGAAATTTTGTTTCAATTCTTATCCTGAATCTTATACTTGTTACTGGAACTCGCTTCAATTTTTTTTTTCTTTTTATATTTTATCAATTCATATACTTTATTTGCTAGCAAATCAATTCATATATTTTATATGTTTGGTTTTGTAATTAATTTCGTATTTTCAAATTATTTTAATTTTTTTTGGATTAATTATATTATACCCTTTCAATTATTGGTCATTTACACTTTATCTCCCTAATATTTTAAACTTGACAATTACCCCCCTCAAACTATTTAAAGTTGAACATTAAGTCCTTCTGTTAATCATTTGTTAGATATTTGAATAAAAAATTGTTAAGTGATGTGCATATAATAATTATATTAAATTTTATGACCAAATTACCATATTTTATCTTTTTTAAAAATTTAATATAATCATCATGTACACAACACTTGAAAATTTTTCATTTAAATATCTAACAAATGACTAATAAAAGGACTTAATGTTTAAGTTTAAATAGTTTGAGGGGGTAATTGTTAGGTTTAAAGCATTAAGGGGTAAAGTGTAAATAGTCGATAGTTTAAGGATGTTTAATATAATTTGCCCTTTTTTTGAGTAAATTACAAATACACCCCCTAAGGTTTGATTAAAATACGAATCGCCTCCGGTAATTTTGAAAATTACATTTCACCCATGAGGTTTCTAATTTTATAACAAATCACCCCTTTAATTAATAAATCATCAAATCAATTAACAGTTTTTAATAGTATTAAAAATATGTTTTAATTAATAATTTAAGTAATTTTATTATTGTATAGGAGAGCAATTATAAATTTCATTTTTTTAGTTAATTTTGTTAAATAAAAAATTATAATAAGAGGATATTTGTAATTTTTAAATCATAGAAAGTAATTTGTATTTTAAACAAATCTTAAAAAGTGTATTTGTAATTTACCTTTTTTTTTACTTGAATTGATTTGGTTTTTCTCAAGTTGTGATCTCAACTTGAGAGAACATTTGAACTTGGTAAGTCTATTTTGGAATCAACTTTGGCAATTCGAACCATTTACTTTTTAAAACTTGTTGAGTAGAATTTTTAAACACAAAACTATGATAATTGGATATTGGTGGATATATGTTTGATTCCTGCGAACCCTATTTGCACAAACCACAAACCGCACTGCGGGCGGTTACGGGTTGACTTTTTCCTAAATCACATAGATGCGGGCGAGTCCAAATCGATCCATAAACCATCCAAATTCGAACCGCTCTGTGAATAGCTCTTAGAACACTTTAAATATTTTAAATTTTAAAATTTGAATTTATTTAGCATCAATATCAGTTTTCCAAATAGTAATGATTCAAACTCCCACAAAACATCACCCCCACAACCTCCACTCACTTGTGATTGGTCCAAGTAAGAGAGAGAAAAAAAAAATAATACAAATACATCATTAGTTCACATTACTGTGGGGTGGTGGGGGTCTCCCTAAAAAGGGTCCCAAACATTTTCCGTTTTTCCAAATTTTAATTTTAAGGTGCTCTTGTCTTATTTATGGAAAATACTATAAACCCTAAATAAATTACCAAATAAATTACCGAATAATATTAAGGATCATGAAAAAAATATCATGAAATATATCATGAAGAATTTTCACCCTTTAATTAGTGTGTGGTGTTTTATTGTGTGTGTAATTTAAAAGTGAAAAATCTTTCATGATCATTTTTATGATATTTTTTTCATGATTTTTAAAATTACTCTAAATTACCAAAGTTTTTAGATGAGTGTGAGACTCATACATATATGATTTATGTAAATTCTACACCTATATAAATGGTTTGATAATATATTTAATAATTTGTTTAGAATCGTAGCATAACTCATTATTTATTAGTCTCATGCAATAAATATACTACGTGTAGCATAACTCATTATTTATTAGTCTCATGCAATAAATATACTACGTGCAATTAATGAACCTACATAATTATGAGTTAAAGTCAAGGGGTTGTTGGTTGTTGTTTGATTCGAATTATAAATAAATAAAT